GAATTGTAAGTGTGCTCTTGAATGTGGCTTATTTCAGTCAGAAGACGATTTCTGAGGCTTTTTTGGCGGTAGCGGAAGATAGCTAAACTGGGGGCGGGGCGGAGAGGTAGTCATCCCACAAGGCCACGCGGCAGGGCCTCGTCTTCCTTTTTCCGCCATCTTGGAGCTTTTGGAGGTGAGTGAGTCTCTTGCTGCTGAACTTTGGGGACGAAAACCGTGGGTGAGTTCGACCACATATCTGTGCGAGGCATTGCTGCGGCTCGGAGTCCCTGCCATTCATTGATTTCTATGGATTCCAACAACAGGGAGGGCAGGATGGAGGAGATGTGGAACCGATGGTGCTGGTCCCCTGACGTCCGGAGAACGGGTGCCCCCGTATTCAGTTGCTTCCTGGGCTGTAATAGTGAAATAGTTGCACTTCGTTTGCATTTACTTTTTCGAGGCAGGGGCTCCTTTACATCTGCTCCCCCTTCAGACCTGGCTTTGCTTGTTTAAGGTCACCTCAGCTTTCTCATTCATTGCTTAAGAATTTTTTTTTTTTTCAGTGCTTCCCTGGTCTTTATTTCTACTGATAATGGCATGAATTTTCTTAAGACTTTTTTTGGTGTTTCTAGGGGTTATTTAGAGTCTTACCACTTACGTTTCATTTTGGAGTTTGCGTAGCTATCAGGCATTTTCTGAGTTTGGGATGTCTTGCCCAGACTCCGCTTCATTTAAATGTTAAAGCATAATTACGTTTTCCCGTACTGTTAATGTGAAATGCCTATCAAAAAGGAATTTGACTAATAAATAGGCTTAAGAAACCAGAGGGGACTAGGTGGGAAAGGTGCGTTGCAAAATTTTAAACTGATTTTTTGTGTGTGTGTTTTAAGGCCTGCTGAGAACAGGACTTCTAAAACAACAAATATGTCAGGAAGGTATGTGTTTTTAATATAATTGATTTTTACTTGTAGTTTTTTATTTTGGCAAAAACCCAAATGTGAGCTTAAAACTTGGGAAAAAATCAAATGTTTGCTATAGATAATTTTTGGGTGGGGGGGTCATTACAAGTCAAATTATACTGGTCGTTTATTGAAGTTAAACAAGATCTTGTAACAGTTTATGGTTAATATGTATTTGTGTGTCTTAGGCTATGGTCCAAGGCCATTTTTGCTGGCTATAAGCGGGGTCTTCGGAACCAGAGGGAACACACTGCTCTTCTTAAAATTGAAGGCGTTTATGCTCGAGATGAGACTGAGTTTTATCTAGGCAAGAGATGTGCTTACGTGTACAAGGCAAAGAAGTAAGTTTATAATATGCTTTTTGAATTTTTATTTGAGATTTGTCTCCTATTCAAGGAGGAATAAAAGATGTTGGTAAAGTAATTGGAACTGTTACGACTTCTAACTTTGTGACTTTATAGAACTTGTTGGCAGGTTATAGGAGGATGTCAGTTTTGTGGGTGGTATTGGATTTAGATATTTTCTGCACTTATTATAGCTGTTAATTGTTTCAAGGAAGGAGTACTTTTTTTTTGCGAGGCAACTTTTGGTTGACCTGACAGATTGCAAGGACCTTATCAACCTACAATTCCTTATTTTATTTTATTTTTTTTTTTTTAATTTTTTACGCCTACAGCACCTGGTCTTCCTAGGTGGTCTCCTGTCCAAGTACTAACCAGGCCCGACCCTGCTTAGCTTCCGAGATCAGACAGGATAGGACTTGTTCAGGGTAGCATGGCTGTAGATTATAGAGTACTTTTAATGTACCTTAATTAATTCATTTTGTTGATGCCTTGAAATTATGTTTTCAAGGCATCAACAACATATACATGCTTAAAGGTATTACGTCTCTAGAGCATTGGTTCTTAATTCTGGATTCTTAAACCCATAATGGGCAAATTAAAATTTCTGGGGACATGCTTTCATCTTTATCCTTTCCTTCTGCAACCAGCGTCCTTTAAAATTACAAGTCAGACAACATCTGATCCTCATCTCATTAGTGAAAGCCAAAGTCATTAAAGACTCCATGCATTCAGGACTCTATTTCTACTTTTAAACCAGCTAGGATTCACCCCTTGGTATCTTCCGCATTTCTATAAGCCAGTGACACAGCCTGCTCAGGTTTTTAACAGGCTGTTCCCTTACATTCCAGTCTTTGTTCAAGTGTTACCTTCTCAATGAGGCCTTCTCTGGCTATTTAAAATTGTAGACACACAAGTATTCTCAAACTTCTTGTCCCCTTTTGCTTCCCCACCCCCCAATATTACAGCTGTTACCATCTGACATTCTATATATTTTGCTTATGTATAACTGAAGGCTATTTACTTTGTTGTCCTCTGAAAGGGATGTATATTTTGTAAGCTGCTCTATTTTATAAAATTGCCAAAAATGAAAATTTATAGAGGTGGCATATAGTAGATTTTCGAGTATTTGAATGAATGATGCCCTGGCCTTTTTTTTTTTTTTTTTTTAATTTCTCAGGTGACTTAAGTGGTTAACTAGGGTTGAGAGCCACTAGTCTAGATGTCACTTGAAATTTATACTACACTATACTAATTGCCTGGGTTCTCATGCTTCTTTTATTCTCTTTTAAAATCAGCAACACGGTGACTCCTGGTGGCAAACCAAACAAAACCAGGGTAATTTGGGGAAAGGTAACTCGTGCTCATGGAAACAGTGGCATGGTTCGTGCCAAATTCCGAAGCAACCTTCCTGCTAAAGCCATTGGACACAGAATCCGTGTAGTAAGTACAGTTAGCAGTATGACACCCTTTTGAGTCAAACTAAGTTCAAGGCATTGGGCTTTGACCTCTTAAGAACTGTTGTGATTATAAAATGTCATCAGTAGATTATACTGTGGAATTAGTGGGTATTGTGTAAATGTATTACGGAACATCAGAAGGAAAGCAAAGGCAAAATGTTCAAATGGATTGTTCCTAGATTTCAGATTTTGCTAAAGTGGCCAAGAGTAGGGTGTAAATTGTATTTAAATGAATAATTTTCTGACAAAGATATATTTTGGGCACTGTAGTACTTGCTAGAAAATAACAATTCATACACTGGCATAATTCTTAACTATTTTCCCGTCTTTTCGTTACAACAATCTTATTAGAATAGGTGTTATTAGCCTTATTTTGTAGAAGAAAACCGATGTTCATGGTTTTAGGTCCCAGGACTTCGGCCAATTTTCTACTCCAGACCCTGTGATTTTCTAAAATAGCTCTTGTTTTCTTTAGGATCCATTTTTAATAGACATGGCCACAGTCTTCGGGTCACGGGGTACTTTTGAGCCCTGCTGAGCAGTTGAGGTTTCTCATCAGAAGTTTTTCACTCATTAGAAGAAGCAAAATTAAGTGGACTTTCAGTGCTCTCAGATTGGTTCTTTCAAAGTATGTTCATTTAGCAACCGAGGGCTTGGTTCCCTCCTCACCTGGATATGTCATCATTGGATGCCTTTCAGAGATGAGTTAATGGGAGAGGGAGATTTATTTATATTGAGGTATTTAACATATTGTAAATTTGTATGTAACATGCACCTAATGACATGTTTTTTCCCCCCCCCGCAGATGCTGTACCCGTCACGGATTTGAATTTAGTAAATAAAGTGGATTTGTTCTCTTGTATTTTTTTAAATGGCTTTAAAATCACTTTGCCCTAAATTCACTTGTGTGCTTAAATGGTGGTGGTTCCCAGCATTTTGAGAGTACGCAAAGAAGTCAGAGGGCTATATGTAATGATTACAGAGATTTAGACAGTAGGATAGGATGTGAGTATCTTAAAGGGAGAGAGACAAATAAACCTTGGTTAAGGACAGTGGAAAGGAGTACCTTGGAAAGTTTATGATGGAGCTCTTAAACCTATCTTCTGATAGGCTTTTGGACAAATGAAGACACAGCATATGCTAGGAAGTACAGATATATACCATGACACTCTTATAGGTTTGCACATCAAAATGGATCTATAACTTCCCCTAACAGTTTATTTCAACTTTGGTGCTGCAGTTTATTATATGTTACATTCTTCATTTAGATTGAGAGTCAATGAAAGAAAATTATCACGATAGATTGGTTGGGAAATGTAACTTAAAATGGTAGTTGTGAGACATCTGAGATTATATTGATGGCATTTGGCAGCTTGTTGAATGGGCAGGAATGACATAACCTTGAGATTTGTGACTAGACAAAACATTCCAATATATAACACTTGGAAAAATGTGTAAGTCAAAAATGTCAATGACACAGAAAAAGGGATCTTGGCATATAGTAGCCTGGGCAATGTAGCTTTCCTTGGCTCTAAGTGTAGGATTGAGATATTTTAGCATAATACAAAGGAAATTAAGCAGAGCTGTGGAAATCTCAATGTGTAGGAAAAAAGTTTGACCAAGGCATCAGTTTGCGGTCTGTTGTATATTGATGCAGTAGCAGCTAGTCCTTTTATTAAATCTGGACATTCCATTGAAATAGGAAACTGGGAGTTTGCAAAATAGCCAGTTTTACAATCTTTTATTTGGGTTCCTTAAGCAGATACTAAAAAACTATTAGCATGCTAAAATGTATTGGAGTGTGAGGACCTTTGAAGGAGAGGATGTGGGAAAAGATTGGGTACGGCTAGCACATGGCAGTTCTACGATTTGTGTAGACCAGTGGTGGTCCTCAAGCCAAAGTTGCACTTGGAAGAGTCCCATGTTTCACAGACATAGGCTTGTTTTTGTATGCCAGGATCCTGGCTACTAGCAGCCTTTGGAACATGTGGCCTCAAGGCAAACAAGGTGGATGGTGAAGAGAAGCAGCTTGAGGGCCATTAGTCAGTTAGGCTCTTCAGTTTTAACTGAACTTCATGGCCACAGAATTTGGTTATTAGAGCCATAAGAAAACAACTTGGAACATCTGGGGGCAAGAGCAGGAAATACCAATTTCAGACCTACTCCAGTGAGAGTTTACCCCTCAAATGGTCAATATAAACTAAAATTACCTATTTCGTTGTGACAGGTGTCAGTGCTCGGGGTGGTCAGGGGTAGGGGGTAATGCTTGGGATGCATTTCGGAAAAAGGAAATGGCACAAAGGTTTTACGTGAAAGCGGAAGGCCTTTGAGGAACCATTGAACTGGGTTATGCAATATGACTTAAAACCCACTGAAGATAATTGTAAAGTAGAAAACTAAGATGCAGTCTTGTGTGCCGTACAATGGATTTTAGATTATTGTATGTAATAGAGTGTCAATTTGATTGTCAGGGTTGACCAGATTTATTTTAGAACTAGTGGCAACCCAGCATAGACAGGAAAACCAGGTAGGGTTTGCAGTCTTAACAGATTTTTAAGCACTGAAACAGACTACATAAACACTAAAACCAAGTGGGGAGGAGTTTTCATGTTCCCAGCTTTGGTTGCTGGGCAGGTAATTGTGCATTTGCAAAGCTGGGGAACCATGAGGGATTTTGTGGGGAGGGGTGTTGATGAGTTTGAGGAACTCAGCTGTGAACATGTCCAGGAAGGCAGATGGATATTCGGGTCTGGATTAGTTATGTAAAGGAGAGAAAAATCTCAATGCCGTTCAGCTTTAGAAGAGTTGAGTGAATGTGTCTTCATTGTGAGTGAATAGATGATAGAGCAATGGTGAGTAAACAAATGGGCTTTGGAGCAAAGCAGGGAAGAAAGCTGAGAATCCTTAGGATAATGGGTAAATGCAGTAATAAAGGAGACTTGCATGCAAATTAATCCTTTTCAGCTGATGTAATGCAGCTCTTGTAAATGAAAGGCTACATAATGCTTTGTTGCTGCCCTAAGAGGTTTGCTCACTACAAAGGTAGACCTTAAGCCAAAGTTATCATTGGATGAGTCCCATGTTTCATGGAAACAAACTGAATGGCTAACAGCTTGCCTGCTAGACCACTGAAACAGCATACTACTGTTAGAACTAGGAACTTAAAGATGACTGGTCACAGTCTATAATTTCTTTGTGGTCTTGTGGAAAGAGCACATGTTCTGAAAGAGAAAATTTAGTTTGGAATCCCAACTTCCACCAGTTGTGGGATGATGGACACATTGTCTTATGAGTCTACTTACAAAATGTCCCACCCCTGTGTATTTGAGTACATGATCTTTGCCAATGAAATATAAACTCTTGGGGATTTTCTATTTTTTTCCTACTACTACGGTTCCTATATAGTACTTGCAATATCCAATTCCTGTTGAATGACTTCCAGCTAAGTGCTTCCAGTTCCTAGTTTTAATTCTTTGTTTCTTGGGCCATGGAGATTTGTCCCTATTTCCAATTTTTTTTGGTAGTTCCTCACTGCTCAGTTTTGAAGGTAGAGTTTCCTTAATGGCAAGGATACATGTAATCTGAGTTAATACAGTTGCTATTCTTGGTTTTTAAATAAGGGATGGGGTTAAATAGTAAAGGACCCACCGTTGATTTTATAGGAAATAACTTTAAGAATGGACCTAAAATTAGTGACTGAAGAAAAAATGAAAATTCCATTCACCTTATTTACAGAGGGCTGTACCATAAAAAGTTCGGCAGCTGTTTAAGCTACTTGTCACCTATTGGGTGAATGTCTTTTCTGTGACTAACTGAATTAAAGAGTGAAAAACTGCCTCTAAAACACCCACATACCACAACCCCGTTACAGTCAACAGCTCAACTCACCAGGGCCGCCTGCCAATCAGCATTTATTGGCTGGCTTTGAGCAATTAGGCGCGATGTACGTCTCATGTTCCGCGGTGAACTTCTTGCAGGTGACGCTATCCAATGGAAAAACATCTTTTCGCTGTCTGGCCCTTCCACCCTCCTTGAGAGGCGATGGGCGGGACTGGCGCCGGGCGCGGAGGCGTCACGTACTCCATGGTAACGACGCTCGGCATAAAGATGGCGCCTGAGTGGGGTGGAGGAACGGGTTCCTCGGGTTTAGGCCCGCGCCCAAGCCGGTGGCACTGGAGCTGTTCTTTATGGGTTCGAGGCGTTTTACTCCTGTTGAGCGGTTTCCGGGCAAGCGCTACATCTATTCCTGTCTCCTTGGGCAGTTCTCCTCCCTGCCGGCACCACGTCCCCTCTGACACTGAGGTAGGGCGGCGAAAGGGCGAGAGCGGGCCCTGTGAGGGTAAAGTAATACGGAAAGCAATGGCATAGAGAGTAGTGATTGGAACAAAGTGTACCGGAGGAGAAAGCGAAATTGGGCCAGTGAATGAACGCTTAGAGGGCTGGGACCTGCTATCATCTCCGTTCCTGCACCCAGCAAAGTGGCTGAGTTAGGCACTCATAACTATCATCACTTTCGTGTGCGGAGGGTTGTGCGTAGCAGGTAGCCCTAGAGCAGTGGTTTTCAAATTTGAGAATGCATCCGAATCACCTGAAGGACTTATTAAAACACAGATTGCTGCCCCACTCCCACACTTTCTCACTCTTTAGGTCTGGGATGGGTCCCCAGAATTTGCAGTTCAAGTTCCCAGAACGTTGGTGATACTACTTGTCCAAGGACCACACTTTAGGAACCACTGATTTAAAGATTTGGAACGGAATGATAGAACCAAAGGCGTTAGAGGGATGTTGGTTCTGCGGACACAAGATTCAGTTTTCAAGTTACCTCATCACATTGCTTGATTTACGCTATTCTTCTCCCCGAAAGTGTCTACCTCCTTCCCACTCCATTTTTCTCCCTGTCTAAATTTTTTCCGTCTCAGTTTAAGTTTCTTAACCTTAGGACAACCAGCTGAAACCATCTCAGCAAAATGTTCTTTCCATTTCATAGTACGATTTATCTGTACTCTCTTCTGGCACTTAACCAACTACCGGTATGTGATGCAGGATTAGTTTTCAGGCATGTCTTGTCATTGTAGTTAAATTGTAAGGTTCCTTAGGATAAAGTTGGTGGCTTATACTTTGATTCTTCCACAATACTTAGCTCAGAGGGCCCACAACAATCACTATTTGAGGAAAGGAGACACTGTATCTGGGACAGGGCCGCATGTTGTGATTGGTTTTACAATTTATCTCCTTTATCAAGAGATATTAGCCTAGAAATTTTCAGTTCAGCCCAGAAATCTAAGACCACACATTTTTGTGGTAATTTCCAAAAATTTCTATGCATACTTACTGTTCATAACCCTATGTGCCAGTTTGGTATTTGTAGTGGTATTACAGTTTTTATCATGACACTGCAGTTTGGCTGAATTTTTTTGGTCTCTTAGTAACTTTTACGTTTATAATACACATTGTTGTCTATAATCTTTATGCTGTGCATTAGCTCTCCAGTACTTATTTACCTACTGTTTGCAAATTTGTACCCTTAAACAGCATATCCCCAGTTACCCCACCCCTGTGATGAATTCTTTTTTAAATAACATTCCCACAAAGCTCAGCACTTCATGCTTTCAATTTAGATTAAAATATGAGAACGTAGTTCAGAGACCTGTAAAATCTGTGCCGGAGGGAACCTTTTCTTCTAGTGGTTGTTGCCACTGTACAGCTCTCTAACTTATTTTGAACATTCCCATGGATATGGAAATTATCTCTAGAGGCAGCCCCTCTTTTTTGGATATCACTATTGTTCTTTTTATAAGAGCTGAAAACTGTGAAACTTCCACCCACTGTTCAGCTTTGTTCTTCAACATCGTGTTGGCTATTCTGGGTCTTTTGCCTCTCTATATACATTTTAGAATCAGTTGGTTTATATTCATGATATAAGTTGCTGAGATTTTGATTGAGATTGCACTGAATCTATAGGTCAAGTCGGGAAAAACTAACAGCTTGGTAATATTTAGTCTTCCTATCCATGTACATGAACTATCTCTGCATTTATTAGTTCTTTTATTTTTTATGGGTATTACACTTGAAATTTAGTTTATTAATTTTGAGTTAGGCCCTCCATTGCCTAATGTCTACATCTTTTTTTAAAATTTCAAATCTGTTTTTTTCAGGTCATAAATAAAGTTCATCTTAAGGCAAATCATGTTGTAAAGAGAGATGTTGATGAGCATTTAAGAATCAAGACTGTTTATGATAAAAGTATTGAAGAGTAAGTACCTCATTATTTTGTTATCTTTTTTTTATTAGGAATCAAACTATTAAAGATATTTTTATCTGTTACCTGAAATACCATAGATGGACCTAGGTGTCAGTACACCTTCAAGATGGAATTAAGCTAAGAATTCTTTTTAGTATGAAAAGATGATGACAATAGGATATGATTAAAATCTATACATCATGAATAATTTGAACAGAACAAATGTGAATCTGCTTGGGTGTGGTCAGTAACTGACCTGGAAGGCACCGCTTAGTAAGTACTTGAAAGAAAAATAAGAGGACGTGCTAATATATACAATAATAAAAACATTTACAAAATTATTAACCAGAGAGATGACATAGTCTAATTTTTTATTAAGTGTAAGAGGGGTCCAAAAACCATCAATTATGAATCTATAGTAGTTTATGATTCGCCATTAAGAGTAGTTGATGTCTTTTCCTTTCCTTAACTTCCCAAATAAATAGGTAACATACAGTCATGCCTAGTGTTCTGCTTTGACACAGAGTAAACTCTCAAATGTTCATTGAGGTTAAATTGAGATTTTGGGAGATTGATATTGCATGCTTCCACAAAGCCTTTCCTGGGGCTCCTGCCAGTGTATTCTGAACAAATGAGACAATGCTCTGTCCCAGCATGGCAATTCTTATGTTTTATGTGGTCATTTTCAGGTTGCTCCCTGAGAAAAGATACCTTGTAAAGGTATGTAATAAATACTTATGGCTTGAATCGGACACTTAAAATGGGTGCATTGTTTTGTATGTAAATTCTACGTCAGTAAAGAAAAATATATACATAACTCTTTTGTGGATTACTAAATAAAAGGTGTTGGTAGTGAATTGATAAATGTATTTATCATTTTCACCAAAGGTGTTCTTGTGCTGCACGCACCAAAACTTTGTCCATATTTGATATTAAATTAGTCTTCTCATTTTATAATTTGATATTAAATCAGTCTTTTCATCATCTTATTTGTTCTCTTAAGTTTTGGGAGAACAAAGCATGCTGAGGATAGGGTAAAAGTGATTTTTGAAATACTTTGAGAACATTATTCTCATGGCGGAAGTGCTTATTTTACTGAAGCTTAGTTGACTTGATAGTATGATATGCCAAAATTATAGAAGTGCTAACCTCATCAGTTTTTTTTTAAACTGTTACGAAGTCACATAAACATTAAGCCAGTTCATTAGGGGGCCACAGAAATAAGTGATGTTAAATCTTCTAACCAAAAGTTTCTTTAACATAAACTACCTTAATGTTGGAATCAGCTAAATCAGCCTCAGATTTGAAATAATTTAGATTAATCATTGAGTTTCATGTTTTCTAACATAAGTGGAGATTGGGAAGGGAGTTTCTATCTAGTATTCTTTCCCCTAAGTCAACTAGAAAATGAGGGAATTCTTTTGCTCCTAGACTTATTCTCTCTCCTACTCCTTGCCACACAATATTTGACTAACTAGTACTATGTTCTAGAATTATAAGGCTTTTCCCTTTTTTCTCCTCAGTCATTAATAGGCTGTGCTTACTCGTTTTAAATATATTGACTATAATTTTGATTGGTTTTCTTTTTCATCTTTTATTTAGAACAAACTTTTTCCACAAGCTATTTCTTATTTAGAGAAGACTTTTCAGGTTCGTAGACCTGCTGGCACTATCTTACTTAGCAGGTATGTTACCTTAAACACAAATCATTTTCTTGAGTCATTTAGTACTCTACCCTCTCCATTCTATCAGTATGGCAAATTAGGAAATTTACTAGCATATTTTATTATGCTTTTTCTTAGAGACCAAAGTGCAAGGTATTTAAGAGAATATAAAAGCACCTGCCGGGTAATCACTCCCTGATTTTCCATTATGAGATGATCTACTGGATTTTTTCCTAGAGTATAGTTGTTCCCTGTTTCCTACCTCCCCTTTCTCCCTCCTTTGATTGTCTATAGTGTTGGCTTTATGAAATATTTGAAAATCCAGATCAGGAGGATTTCCCATGGAACAAAAATTCTTTCTTAGTCCAATTTTCTAACTAAAACAGTAATTATTAGTGAACTTGTTTAGCAGCTGCTAGTTTTTACAATGTCTGTGACTGTTGTGAACTAGTCTTTCTTTCTTTCTTTTTTTCTTTCTTTCTTTTTGTAATTAAACTTGGATGCGCAAATGAACTGAAGACAATGTGCAACAAACCAATACCTGCGGAAAGAAAATGATCCCCATAGATACTGTACCGGGGAATGTGCAGAGCGTACAAAATGTGGCCCAATTATAGTGCCTGAAGAGCATCTCCAGGTAATTCAGCCTGCTCTTAGCAATGTTTTTATTCTTTAAGATAAACTCATGGGAAATTTTGAATCTGTGTCACCAAGAAGTTTTTACAGACTTACATTCAAAAGCTTCATTCTTCTACCAAAAGTAATCAGTTAGGTATGCTGATTTTATTCTTCATTGGTTTTAAAATGAATTTAATGATATTTTCTTTCTTTTGTTTTAATTTTTTTTAATTGAACTTTTTATTTTGAGATAATTGCAGAGCCACACATAGTTGTAAAAATAATAGAGATGTTGTGTGTACTCTTTCTTTTTTCAATTTGTCTCTAAGGCTGCTGAATCATTTCAGCTTAGAACTTTATTCTCCAAAATATCTTTTAGCAGGTATATACCTCAGTATTTTTGAAGGACAACTTGACATTGTCTCTTAAAATCTATGCTTTATCCAAACCTAGAAATGTATTCCATAAAAATGCTTATAACTGTGTAATGTATGCTCAAGGATATTCTTTGCAAAACTATAAAATGCTTGTATTAGTGTTACTTAAATTATGGTATAACCATATAATGGAATACTATGCAGCTGTTAAAGAATGAAGTAGATCTGTATGTATTGACTTGGAAAGATATTTAAGCACCTCCCTCCTGTTAAAAAAATGAATTATAATCCAAAAAAGATTTATGATCATTTTACATAAATAGAAATTTTAGTAAAATTCAAAATTAGAGACAGGAAATGAGTAAAAGGAGATGTGGATTCTTATAAAAGTTGAGAGATAATAAATAAAAAATTATACGTATTAAGAGTTTGGATTCACTATAAATTAAAAGTCCCCACAGCTAACCTTATCTCGTCTGATTTTCTGTTGCCCATCATGGGTGCAGCAATGCAGGGTCTGCCGTGGGGGTAAGTGGCCCTGTGGAGCGGTGGGTGTGCCAGACCAAGAGGGAGTCCAGGATGCCGACTTCGTTCTTTATGTTGGTGCCTTGGCCACAGAGAGGTGTAGCCATGAAAACATAATCTCTTGCAGCCTATTTTTTTTTAAGCAAAAATGGACAGGTAAACTTTCCCCTGAGACTTATTTCCCAAGCAATAATATGGGAACTCTTAAAACAAACTGTATTATATAAAAGTGTTTAGAGTACAGGAAGTTTGCATTTACCAGATTGCCTCCAGTAGTAAAAAATGGCACACTACTTGGATGGGGGAGATGGGAAGTTGGGGAAGTCAGATTATGGACTGTTACCTATATGGTAATATCAGTACCAACTCCAAAGAAAAAGTCTGCTGTCAAGAGAATTTTTCGAGGGAGTAAATACCTCTCTGAGTAAACTATTTGAACTTTAATTTGAGCACTTCTGTGCTAAGCTGTAAGTAAGATGTTAAAAGTAACTGTTCATCTAATTGTCATATCATTTGATATGTTCGTCACTTAGCTAAATTATCGCTTAAAAATTTAAAGTCTTTTTTTTATTTACAGAAAGATTTTTTTATTTCGAAAAAATTTTTCCAGTGAAGTAGCCTTAAAATGAAGTTATTATATATGTAGAAGATAGCCTGTTATACTCCAGACAAATCAATTAAAGACAGTAGAATAGATTGTATGTAACATTCTTAAAACTAGAAGAGTTAATGTGACCAATTCATGTGTGTGTTAGGACCATTGCTGAGGTCCTGAACATTCATTTCTCTGTCAAAAGACTTGCTGACTTTAAAGAGCTGTTTTGTCTATGGCCATGCCACCCTGAACATGCCCGATTTCATCTGATTTCAGAAACTAAAGCAGGGTCGGGCCTGGTTAGTACTTGGATGGGAGACCACCTAGGACTACTAGGTGCCGTAGGCTAAAAAAAATAAAATAATAAAAATAAAGAGCTGTTTCACTTTTATTGATATTTAATTCATTTAAGGGGAAAAAAATTGATTGTTGAACCAAGTAGTCATACAAAGGAAATACCAGTATGTGCTTCAGAATTATACTGTCAATACTGAAGGTAGTGAAGAGGTCAAAAAACAGTATCATGGAAAAACAGCCTGTTATTATGATATTATGTAATTGTTGATATATGAAATTGATTAAAAAATCTTTAGCTTTTGAATGTCGAAAATGCTTAGAGTCAGATATTGAGTGTATGACTAAAAGTGCTATATGTTTTGTAGATATGTATCTAATATTTTTTAGTAAAAAGAAGATATATATTTATTTAGAGTATTCCTTTTTTCCTGAGAAGCAGTTATTAAATTTGTGATAGTTTATAGTTAAGGGTGTCTTTATATCAAGGAAATGCTAAATGAATGATAAATTACTTGATAAAATGAGATACTTTCTTAAAGTAGATGACTTTGAGAAATATACCTTCCTAATAGTAGTGCTGCAAAATCATGGTTCTTTATCTTAATTTGAACTAAACCGCATAGATCATACATTCATGCACACACCCAATCTCATTTTGATTATACTATTGAGTGTCAAAAGAACATTGTAAAACAGTGTATATAATATGATTCCATAATTGTTTTAAAAATCTATCTATGTACTTGAATGTGCTGAGGAAAAAGAAATAATTAGTATTACTAATCATCCCAATTTACCCAGGACTACCCTTGTTTGAGCACTGAAAATCTCATATCCTGGGAAACCCCTCAGTCTTGGGCAAACCGCAAGGACTGGTCACCCTAAAAATAAAGCAACCCAAATTGTTGATAGCGATTCCCTTTGATAGTGGCATTAAGTGGGAATGGGTTGTAAAACAAGAAATTTTCATTTTTTCTTTATACATTTCTCTACTGTTTGGATATAGACCTTTTACAATGAGCTTGTATTATTATTATTTTTTAATATAAAAGACATGTTAAAGTGAACATTTTATTAGGAACAGAATGGCTTCCCTGGGGAAGTGGAAAAAGGCATATAAAATCCCATGTTGGGATGGGTCTAGATTAGCTCATCTCCTTTCAGCATCTACCTGACATGTTGAAAGTACCTAAAGTAGCTAATTAATTGTCTTTTGTTAAGAGAGTCCAGCATAGTTGTCACAGAGGTGAAAACTCCATAGAGTAGAGGTGCATTTCAGTTTCATTGTATTGCTATTATGTTTGTTTAAAGCATTTTAACATTTAGTTCACATTTGATATGAATGAGTAGCTAAAAAAAAATATTTTTTGAATCAGTGAATATGAAGCTTCTCATATATGTCTTATACTTGTCTAAAGATTTTGTTTTTTTCTGAGGAGAATGTTGATGTCAGAAAAAAGAGCAGTCTCTTCAATTGTTCTTTTCTAATTTTTTGAAGGAAGCGAACTTTCCTTCAAAACTGCCATATTGCATTAATTCATTCCATGAGTATTTGAGTGCTGAGTGTTGCCAACACACTAGGTGAACAAAATAGATATGTGTACCTGCCTCACGGAACTTATAAATTACACAGAGAAAGATATTAGTTAAATATATTTACAAATGAATAGGTGCTTCGAAAATGTGGTAAATACTTTATAAAAAAAAAAAAACCCCGAAAATAGAGTGCTGTAACATAAAAGAGAACCAAAGGGGGAAACATAATTTATATCAATTGGGCAAAGAAGGCCTCTTTGAAAAAGTAAAATTTTAGCTGTAACCTGAACATCGTTAGGCTTCAGCTAAATAAAGATGTAGAGAAATAGCTTGTGTTAGGAAGAAGCCATTGTGTACCTCTTGCTGTTAGAAGCTACTTCAGTGAACACCATGTTTGAGGATGAGCGCTTTGGGAAATGCATCGGACAGTCAGAGCTCTTTTAATCTAAATTCTGTAGGAAGTCCCTGATGGGTTTTAAGCCTGACATGACATCCATTTTATATTTTAGAAGCCACTGGCAGAGTTTTGGTAAGTGAATTCACACTTTTTCTAAGTGTAATTCTGTTTTCAAGTATCGAGAAAGTATTCTATAAGTTTTTATTTAAATAAGGCAAATGTTAATTGTAAATAGGCAATCACAATTTAGTCTCTGATGTTGCTGTGGTAAAACATTAAGGTAGTGGTGGGAGAAAGGACCTTGGGGTTCCTTACCATTGTCAGTTTGCCATAGCTTTTGAAAGACAAATAGGTGCATGGTAGAACTGACTGAATTTCTCTGGGTTGCAGAGTACATTATTGCTGCATGCAATAACATGTATGAATATCACAGATAGAATGTTGAACGAAAGAAGTCAAAGAGTCCATTTCGTATGGAATTTAAAAACAGGCAACAATAAAAGACAGCTTAGTGGTTTTTTTGAGGGGCCGCTGTTAAATGCCATAAAGTCGAGTGTAAATTGGGGAGAGGCGCAAGGAAACCTTTCCAGCGGTGCTGACATTGTTCCATATTTTATTAGAGTCAGCTCAGATTCTGGGTGCAGAAGGAGATGGAAAATTCTGTAGATTCTAGAAGGTATATAATATAAAAGAAGATAGTGGGATGATAAAGATCTTTATGTGAATAAGGGCAGTGTTGAGGCGGGAGAAGGGGAACAGCAAGATGGAGATAAGAAGGTTCAACAATTTTCAGCAACCTGAATGACTTGCTTATTGTCCTGTCATATATCTGGATTCCCTTACTACTTGTCTGTCCCTGTGCTTGTAAATATAGTAAAATGCTGAAGTCAGATGTGGATTTTGAAGGTAAAATAGCATTAGAATTTGAACTTTTCAGTTCATTCCTTTTTTTGATATATATTGACATTTTAAAAATTCATGCTAAAGTATAATTAAATGACATTTAATATTTAGCAAAGGTTTTTCTGACCTTGGGTAGTTTTTAATAGAAAGGTATAGGTTAGTAAATACCATAATACATATTGTTCTGGAATATAATAAAAAATTCAATGTCTATTTTAACAGGCCAGTAGCAGGATATGCTAACCTGTGTCCAAATATGATCTCTACCCAGCCTCAGGAGTTTATTGGGATGCTGTCCACAGTGAAACATGAGATTATTCATGCCCTGGTAAATTTTACTGTTAACTGTTCTTCATGCCTCGATTTTCTGTTTATTGTATTCTCATTTTGATGTATATATTAAATTTTAAGATTACATAGATTATTAGATTCATGTTCTATAAAACCTAGTTGGTTAGGCCTCTGCCAATAGAAAATTTATAATGATTAGCATAGTGGCTAGGTTGAGTTATTCTACTAAGAATAATTAAAAAAGTAAATCCATTAGGCAAATAAGATTTTTGAGAAAATAATTACGTTTCTTCAGAAAAAGACTTAGTAATTTAGAAAAATTTACTTTTCTCTAAAATGACAACCGATATACTAATTATAGATCTTATCACCTTAAGCGATCTCATTTCTAAAAATCTTCTTGGTGTATTTAGGCTTTCTAAGTTTATATATACTAACTGATTCAGAACTTCTTCCATTTCCCTAATTCATCCAAAATAGCGAACTTTTACTGTATGTCTAGGGAATTAAAGTTGCCTAAGAGCCTAGGAAATGTTCTGTTGATGCTATTCATATATTTAGAAAGTAGATGGCAGTAAAATTAAGAGGTACTAGATCACACAGATCTAGGAGTGATTCTTCTTAACTCTACCACTAATAGTCTTTGGGATCTTGTGCAAATTACTTAGCCTTTGTAAGCCTCAGTTTCATCTGTAAAATGAGGATAGTACATACTACAATGGATTTTTTTTCTTGAAGATTAAATAAGACAAAATATACAAAAAGCTTAGCACTGTGCCGTACATAGTAAGGTATAATAAAATTAGTGGCTATTATTTATTAATTTTTTGTAGTGAGCCTTAATGTATGAGCTTGAAATGCAAGGCTTGGTCTTTAAATCAGCAAATACATTGAATAATTCGGTGAAACTGTAGGATAATCAGATAGCATGTATATCTTTCAAGTAAAGAGATTCTTAAATGAATCATCTATTTTCCTTTTATTAAAGTAAGCTGAACCTGCTAAATTTGGTGAAAGATAGTCATCACTCTAATTAACATTTTAAGCTTTAAGCTCTAAAATCTGTGGATACTTGATGAGAACCAGAGAAAAACGACAGGTTTTAAGTCTGCTTCATAGTGAACATGAATGCAGAGGTCCCAAACATGAGATAAATTATGAATAGACAGTTCATATAATAAAAGAATTCAGTTGACCAAGAAATGTATGAGAAGGTATTCACACTTTAGCAATCAAATCTCAAAGCAGGACACCACTGAAAGTAACAGCATGTGTGAGAGTTATGTACATCGACTTCGAGGTAGTGGTTACCTCTGGGAACAGAGGAAGGAGAAAGGGTTAGGTAATGAAGTGTCAGCAGGATTTATTCTGTAGTGTTTTATTTCTTTTAAAAAAATCTGTAGAAAATATGGCAAAACTAACATCTTAAGTCCTCTTGAAGATACATAAGTTTCTATTAGAATTTTAGAACTTTTTTGTAAATTTGAGTTCTTTTAAAAATTGTAAAGTTAAATATAGCTATTAACTACAGTCATCCATGGTACTTTGAATACTAGATAATCCTGAGATAATTCTTCTTAGAAATTTTCTAGTTATTCAGGTTGAAAAAATATGCATTTAGAATATTATAAAGGATGAGGCAAATCATACTATTTTAAACTTTATATAGTTTCAGCAATTTGTATATTAAAAACTATTGAGATTTTCTTAGCTGAGTCCACTAAGTGTCTTTTGTATCTTCAGAGATTAAAAAAAGAAGAAGAAATATAGGAATAAAAGACTAATCGGAATTCCATTAATCATTTTGGCAAGCCTTGAATGACACAGAGACCAGTTATGTAAGCAAAGAAATTTGCCAATGAAATTGATTAAGTGGTCAGTTATGATTGTTAGTTATTTGACTATAAGCTATAACATTCTCAATGTATAAAACATACATTAAAAAGTAGTTATAAAAGTGCTTCGTTTTAGTTATTAGATTAGGAAAGAAAGCAAGGAAAGAAATCTTAGTAATGAAATAGGATATACCAAATGTCACCTTTTTTTGTCCATTTTCTCATCTTTCTTTGGAGGGGAGGGATAGAGAATGAAAACTTGAATACCTTTATGTGAGGTATACATTATCTCATTAAAATTGAAGACTTCTTAAAATGTAATTATAAACATACAAATTTGCATTGTAAAATTATTTTAGGAATATGGATGATTTTATACATTACCTTACTAGCAAAAGAACCATATCTAATGTTTCGATATATATGTTTTCAGTTCTTTTTTCTTATATGTACACACACACATGCACACATGCACACATTTACACTCCTTTTTTTTAAATGTAGACATATATTAAATGTGGACTTTGGGATCAAAGACTGAATTTTTATGAGTGCTCTTAGGCTCACACTTGATCACTCAGCTCCCTTACTCTAAACTGTATTGTTAATTGTTCTCAAGAGTAGCATTCCCTGGATACAGTTATAGAGTTTAGAAAGTTTATGTGAAGATCAACTGTGATAAACACATTCTTAAACAAATAAATGCATTGCCCATACTACTACTAAAGAGTATCTTCATCATTACTTTTGGTTTCCTCATTTAAAATAACCTCAAGTAATTGGAATTTAAAATTCATAAATATGGAACACTTTATTGTCCAATTCTAATATGAGAAGTTTCTATGGAAGTACTGATGTAGTGCTTCTATGTGGTTATATCAGTGTTCTCTTTTGATAGCAGCATGTTATGTCTATAATCAGAATTGATATTTTTCACTTTAACATTTTGAACTTTTTCTTGTAGGGTTTTTCTGCTGGGCTGTTTGCATTCTACCATGATAAAGATGGAAATCCTCTAACTTCAAGGTTTGCAGATGGTCTCCCACCTTTTAATTATAGGTATTTGTTATTTTTGTTTTTGTTCTCTTTTAGGAAGGTGCTAATACTAGAATCTGGGAATCATTGCATGTTAGGTGCTATAAATAACAGTGGCTTTATGGCTAGCCTAAGAAAATTGTAGCTATTAAAACAAGATAGGGTATAAGAGGTCATTTAGTTTCACTTTTCATTTTACAGGTGAAGCAATTGAGTTGCAAAAAGCTTAAGTGGCAGTCCAAAGAGCCGGAACTCTCCTTGCTAAGCAGGGCTCTTTTCTGCTATATTGTAGCTTGTATCACTTTACAGACTAGTCAGGCCATGGGAAAATGAGGGTTGGTTATATTTTGGTTTATTAATAATTATTGCCTCTGTACATGGAAATATTTACATGTAAAGGGGGTATTTAACACTGAATATTAGCTGTGATCTAGGGATTCAGAGCCTGAAGTAATATCAAGAAACACTAAAAAAATTATCAAGAATTTTATATGGAATATCAGCCATAGAACTGTAACCATTTGCATGCATTCATATAAAAGTACATCTTTAAACTAAGAGCACATGCTCACAAAAAGACATGTAAGAATGTTCATGGCAGTTTTGTTATTAATACCCCCAAAATGGAAACTACCCAAAGGTCCATTAATAGTAGAATGGATAAATAAATTGTGATATATTCCTATAATTGAAAACTCCAAAGCACTAAAAGTACACTGTTGCTGCATACAATAACATGTATGAATATCACAGATATAATGTTGAGCAAAAGAAGTCAAATAGTCCATTTCGTATGGAATTTAAAAACAGGCAACAATGAAAGACAGCTTAGTGGTTTTTTTGAGGGGCTGCTGTTAAATGCTTTAGTATAGATTGGGGAGAGGTGCAAGGAAACCTTTCCTAACTGTCCTTACCCTGCCCCCACCCTCCCACCACCACTCTGGCCCAGGATGTCCATTCTGTAACTGTTATTCTAAACAGCAGTCATTTCATGCCAGTTTTGCTCAGACCTACGCCATAAAGAATACACAGAAGAAAAAGACATAGAAGAGACTCCTGAACCAAAACCCCTCAAACAGGTCATTGAAACCACAACACGTCTGATCGTCACACTGTGAGGTCTTCTCGCCCAAATCAGGGGCTGATGTTTCCTAACTGTCCCATATTTTATTAGAGTAGTGGTATATGGGTATAGAATAAAAAGCTAATTAATCTTTATACTTAAAATTTGTTTACTTTATGTATATTTTACTTCAGTTACAGATATCTCTATTAAAATGGCTAGAATTAAATAAATATTAAAGCAGATAATACTTTATTTGGCATAATATTTTTTAGAGTACATGTGAAATGAATTTCTAATGTAGAAATAGATGTTTTCCTTCATGGAGTATGTTTGTTTTTTTGGTGGTGTGGGAGAAGTCTGGTCTTTTCTGAGAATTGTGGTCTTAGGGGAACATAAATATTGAGAGAGGCATCAACTACATAGTGATGTAGGTAAGGAGGAGAGAGATACCCACACCCAAGAACTGTTGTTAAACTGATTATTTGTAGTGCTTTTTGCATCGAGGCTATTCCTCAAAAGCAGGAATTTTACAGTATAAACGGAGGTAATAAAGTAATGAGAATTCAGTCGTTAGACATATAAAGAGTTGGATTTGTCCCTATTCTATTTGGAATGACATATAAAGAGTTGGATTTGTCCCTATTCTATTTGGAATAACTGTTAATCTTGAAGTGTGGATGGTGAAGAGGATATTGGCGTTATTAGTAAGGTACAAGCTATTTATTTTCTTGCTAGCTTTGTTTACTATTTATGTTTAAACATTGCCATGCCATGGAAAAGGATAAAAGGAACTAAGAATAAATTCTCTTTGTCATGGGTAGATTAACAGATAAGTGATTCAACAAATAGAACAAAATGTTAATTGTAGATTTAAGATAGTAGATATTGGGTATACAGGTGTTCACAATACGATTCTTTTAGCATTTTGTGTGTTTCATAAATTTTTCATAAAATAATGGTGGGGAAAAATAACCTTTTTATATTCTATTTTATTGGTGAGAATGACACATTCGTAAGGTCAATGGTAGAAGTAAGGTAGGAAAAAGCCAGAAAAAATTATTTAAGTTATAGGTAAAAATCAAAATGGATGTTCATCATAATTTTCTGTAATAAATAAATTGCGTTTGTAATAGTGCTTGTATTTGGGCAAGATAGATTCCTTAAAGTGGCATTCTATTTTAAAATCTATGTTCACTATGAATTTTAATAAAAACTGCCTTTTTTTTTTAAGTTGTGGCAGGCCACACTCCCATCAGGGATATATGAGTGCTTTTGTTATCACCTTACCAGTACTGGATATTGTACCATATTAGATCTTTTCTTAAGCCAATCTGATTGGTAAAAGTTGGTGTCTTCTTGTATTTCTAGGACTATTAGTAAGGTTTTAGCTGTTTGCATTTTCTCTTTATACACTGCCTATTTTCTAAGACCAGTCTTGGTTGCTTTTTCTTTTTTAATCACTTTTTAAGAGGTTTTTTTGTTTTTTTGTTTTTTATAAATTAGGGATATTAATCCTTCTTGATGTTTGTTGTAACTACTTTTTCCCATTTAACTATCTCTTTATCATCATATTTTTGCCATACAGTTTTTAAATTTTATATTATTAATCTATTTTTCTTTATTGCTTAAAAAAGTTTCTGTCCTCCAAAGATTATACAAATATTATTCTAAATTTTCTATAGTCCATTATTATTTGAAGTTTTTACAATCATAGCTTTACTCCATTTGAAATTTATTTTTGATTCATTTATTTTTGCTTTTTTATAAGGTACATAAATTTTTATAATTGTTATAGCTTCTTGGTGGATTGACCCTTTTGTTATAAAATTTCCCTGTAGTAGCAATTTGTCTGTAGTTGCAATTTTTCTCCTAAAGTCTATTTTGTCTGATAATAATGTAGCCGTTACAGCATTCTTTTGAGTATTGTTTAAATGGTATATCTTTTTAATCTTTTTTATGTTCAACTTGTATGTGTTTTAAGTCTAAGCTGTGTCTCTTGTAGACATTCAATTTGATCATACTTTGGTTTTTTTTAATATCTCTTCCAGTCAATTCCATACTGCCCCCTCTGGTGGCTGCCAGATTGTTGGTTCTCACCTTGACTGTGGGCTTTGTGTTTTCAAGGCTGCCACAAGGCTGAAGAGAAGGCATGGGGAAACACCAGAAAGCTTAGTGTTCTTACTGAGATTTATCCATTTTTATTAAATGCTTCCGGGATTGCTGCAAATCTTTGGTTAATTTCCAGAGTTCCAAAAAAAGTTAATTTGGCCAATTTTGGTACTTTTTTTCATTGCTTTCATGAAGCAGAGAATTTTCAGAGGTCCTTACTCTGCCATTTTTGCTGACTTCTGTCTGGAATTTATTTCTGTATATGGGATGAAATAGGGATTTGACTTTTTTCTTCCTAGATGAATAACTTGTTTCACAGCACAGTTAAGTAAATTATACTTCCCCACTAAAGTGACATCTTTGGACTTGCTTTTGTTTTATCCAATAAATTTGTTAAAAGGAAGTAATTTATTGTCATCTTAGCCAAGTATTAACTATGTAGACTTGAGCAAGTTACTTCAACTCTCTAAGCTTCTGTTTCTTTATCTGCAAAATAGTGATAATAACCTTATAAGATTGTTGAAAAGATTAAATTAGAAAATATCAATACTTTGCATGGACTAGGTACATAGTAAGCTCAAAATATTTTAACTTCATTGATATTCATAAGCAATTTTACATTTAGTGTGATGAATTTGCAAAAGTGACTGTGTTCTTTAATTTCAGTCTTGGATTATATCAATGGAGTGATAAAGTAGTTCGAAAAGTAGAAAGATTATGGGATGTTCGAGATAATAAAATAGTTTCTCACACTGTGTATCTCCTAGTAACACCTCGTGTTGTCGTAAGTATTACTGAATTTATTGTCTCATGAGCCATCTGCTCTTTTCCTTCATTATGGTCCTTTCTTTACTAATCATTGTTTAATAACTTATTAAATTTTAGAGCTGATAATAGAAAAAATAATATAAAGACAGTACAATAAAGCTACAGGCCAGAGAAATCTGAGGAAATGGAAATTTGGCAATGACTTTCCTGGTTTCCATTCTACCCACTGTATTAAGCCAGTGTTCCTCTGTTTTGATACCTCTTAGGATTACTGGTACTATTTGCATAACTGCTGGTTACTTCATTTAGTGTCTATATTAGTCAGAATTCTCCAGAGAAACAGAACCAATGGGATCTGTTGAGAAAGGGAGAGGGATGATATAAAATGAACCATCACAGTGTTCCTTCACACTCTTATGTAATGACAGAAACCTATTCTCCCTTTTTACTTCCTTGACTAAATACAGCTCTCTCTCTGCCTTCTGAAATTTTGTACTGATCTTGGCATATTTCCCATACCTAGAAATCTCTAACTGAAGGACAGACAGAACCAAATGAGCAAAATTGTATTTTAACGAACAACTTATTTTTCCTACAAACATTGTATCCATAAGAGCAGTTTATACCTACATTAAAATTAGTGTTGATACAAGAGTTACAAATAGCAATCATACTTGTCTATAATTTTTTTGAAATATGTGCCTTAAAATTAAAATCTTCAAATAGAAAAAATTTGAAAAGATATAGTAATTTATTTGCAAAGAAGAGTATGAGAGTATCAAAATATTTTAATTATATTAAAAACACTATTTCTCTCTTCTCACCAAAGAAATTCTTTAATGTCTACTTTATTATATCTTGTGTAATAAAGAGTTTGCCATTATTTTATTGCACTTTTATAAGATTTATATTTTTTTCTGATTCTTAGGATGAAGCACGAAAACATTTTAACTGTCCAATTCTGGAAGGAATGGAACTTGAAAATCAAGGTGGTATGGGCACTGAGCTCAACCATTGGGAAAAACGGTTATTAGAGGTCATTTTATTTTAAAATTCTACTAGACATATTTTTTCTTTAATAAAAGTAATTCTTATTCATGGTAAAGTGATTTAAACAGTATAAAAGCTTACAAAGTAAAAAAAAAAATTTAAGTCATTTGTCCCCTTTAGCTTTTCAAATCCACTTTCCTGATGTAATCACTATTTAAGTTTTTTATATATCCTTTCAGAAGTTATATACATATGTAGAGATACACACAGTAACACACATTTTTAAAAGAATAGGTTCGTACATTTATGCAACTTTCTTCACTTAATGATATATCTTAAACATTTTTCCAAGATAGTACAAGTGCTTCTGCTGTAATGCAATGTATGCTTTCCTAAAAAACCTCTTTCTTCAAAATTGAACACTAAAAATAACAAGGCTTGTGGGAAAAACAAATACCAGAGCACTAACAAAAACAAGTCATAATCCAAGTCCTAAGTTGATTTAAAAAGACATGACACTTCTAATAAATAAACTATGTTTACTCTAGTATTTCTTTACATTTAACAACAACAACAAAAAGTAATGATAGCTGGATAGACTATAAATCTGAGTAATGGAGAAAAAGAGTAAAATGTACGCAAATTAGAGAGAAC